AAGAGATCTCTTATTAAAAGTAGAAAGATTCTTTCTTGGAGGATTGTATTTGGGTTTTCCTAGGAGGGGGTCCTTACTTACCTTTGTCTCTTTTATTTCAACAAACAGTACCCAGAAAGTAAATACATTTACACAGTATATTCATCCTTGCTCCTGACTGTCAACAGGCACGGTTTAACTTTTTTTGTCTCTCTCCTTCATGGGGCAATTTGATATTCTGCCCTCAATGGCTATTACAGGTGGATATCACAGTATTTCTTACCAGGATTGCCTTTGCATGTGCTCAGACCACAAGGCTGAGTCTGCAGCAAGTGCGTTACCACACTGCCCCCCTTTTTCACACCTTGTACCTTGATCTCATTGAATCACTTCTTAGTAAGCGTTCTCACCTATCACAATCAGTGGTTATAGATCAACTACTACAGTAACAACATACTGAAACTTCTAAGAAGGTTGCAAAATTCTTAGCCATAGCTAAGGCCATTAGAAACCAGGGGGTTTGCTCTACAACCAGCTGAGTTCTGATTTTTCTGTTCCATCCACTCACTTTACATTTGTTGACTGCCTTGTGCCAGGCTTTTCCACCAATCTGTGTATGGAATATTGACACCCTCCCCAACATTATTTTATTTATTTATTCATCATATTTATATAGCCTCACAAAATCTGACTCTGGGCGGCACACAATAAAAACATTAAAAAATAATATAAAAATAATCAACAATTATATATCAAGTATTATATAGGAATCTTGTTGCTGTAGTGTATTTGAATTCATATTTATTCTATTTGAATTCATATTTATTCTTTTACTGTAAACAGCTCAGAGTCGCTCTGTAGTCAAATGAGCGGTGACAAATTTGAAATATTAATTAATTAATTAAAAATTAATACTACAATTAAAAAAGTCAAGGAGAAAGCGACAGATATTAACAACAGTGGAGCCACCTCAACAAGCCACCATTCCCTTGGGGGCCCCAAGCCTGATATAATAGTCAAGTCTTGAGGGACTTGCAAAAAGTTAACAGGAATGGAGCCAGCCTGACCTCGCGGGGGGCAGGGGGAGGGATGATATTCCAAAAGGTAGGTGCCACAGCAGAAAAGGCTCATCTCTGTGGTCCCCCCAGATATAGCTTTTCAGCAGATGGGACCCGCAGCATACCCACTCTGCTGGATCTGATGGGATGGGCAGATGCAATCAGGAAGAGGCAGTCCCTCAGATAACCCAGCCCCATGCCATGAAGGGCTTTAAAAGTCAAAACCAGCACCTTGAATTGGACCTAGAAGCAAACTGGCAACCAGTGCAGATTGCAGACCAGAGGTGTAGCGTGTGCCATTCTAGGGACACACATAACTGCTTGTATCGCTGCATTCAGAACCAGTTCAAGCTTCCAGATACTCTTCAAGGGCAGCCCCATGTAGAGTGTGTTACAGTAGTCCATCCAGCAGGTGACTAGGGTATGAATGACTGTGAGCAGAGCTTCCCAATCTAGGAGCATTCTTTATTCTCTACTGAGTCTGCTTTACCCACATCATACTGGCTTTTGCTGTGCACTACATGCTGCTGCTTTTATGTTTTACTTCTCCCTAATTACTGTATAATTTCACTGATTTTTATTCTTTTGGCCTATGGCTATCTATCAAATACATACATATATTCATACATGGGATCCTTTTCAAGCCCTTTCCTCTGAATTCATTTGTTTTAGAATGTTGTGTATTTCCAATAACGAATTCTGATTGAGAATTCCTAGGATTCTATTCTGGTTCAGCTAAACCCATGCTTTAGTAGCAGCTTTTCATCATGAGAAGAATAGTTCTCTGGCATGATCAAATGCATAGTCTGAGGAACTTCCTCACTGAGAAAGGCCAAAACAGGCTTTTCTCTGGAGGGGGCAAGTGACCCATCTGATAGTTCTCTAGAGGAACCAGATTGGAACAAGAGTCAGTTTTCTTTCTTACCTGTTCTCCCCAGAATGTTATGGCACAATCCCTACAGACCACCACCCCAGGTTCCTACAAAACTTGGTCTTGGCTCTTGTTCCCTATACTTCTTATTTTCTGTTTTTTGTTTTTTTCCTCATCCAACTCTCTCTTCCCTCCCCTCATTAGTATCATTGTGTTCAAGCCACCCTTTTCTGCCTTCTTCCTTCATTCCTTGCTGTTCTCCGCACCATAGTAGGCACTCTCCTTGTTCCACTTCTTCCCTTTGGGAGCTTATATAAGGATCACACTGACACTGGAGCATCCTTTCTTTCCTGATCAGTTGCAGTACATCTTTCTTGCCCATCTAGTTAGCGGCTATCTAGCATCCATCATAATTTCATATGCCAGCTCTGCCTCTCACAGTCATGGTAGCTGGTATACCTTAGTGAGAAGAAAGTAGTGCAATTGGACAAACCATGTACTCTATCACAGTTTGCTAATATGATCATCAGTTGGGTGCAACTGCTGCAAAAACAGAGTTTAGCACAGCAAATCTTAATATCACTATATCTCCATCAGAAACCTTCCTTATAACACAGTAACAGGGATAAGCTGAACCATTGGCCAGCAGATTTTTAGACCTAGATTTGGACTTTTTAGATCTCAGGTTCCTCAACAGCAGATGTGAAACTAGAGGCATGAAACCAAAGCAACAGTTTGAGCAGAGTGGGAGACTACAAACAGCTTAAATACTACAGTTCCTATTCATATCATGTAGCTAGGCTCACAATAGTAATACCTACTCCAGAGTCTATATATTACCTGCCAACTTTCCTCAATTACAAGTCAGCTCAGTTGAGAGACAGTATACATACTACCTCCCAATTAAAGGGATAATTTTACACATCCCTATTTCTTTCCATATCTGCAGAAGGATTTGGAATTTAAGAATATACAATTGCAAACAGCCAAAACAGACCTGTCCCTAGTCTCACACTACAAAATTCCTAAATCTGGACCTTGTTAGTTCTTTAATACAAAATGCAGAGATAAAATAAGGGTTGGAAAGAGATGAATGTGGCATCTGGAGTTGTTGGCAGTCCATGGGAGATAAAGGACTATTAACTGAGCATTGTATCTCAAAGGTAGTAAAAACTGTATAATAGTGATGATTGCTTTTGCTCCATTGCTTAGCGCACAAAAATCAGTTCATAGAAATAAAACCCTAAGAGCTCAGTGCAAAATATGTACAATCTAAGCTTTCTTATTTGTAATCAGATATTCACAAAATTCATCTGGAATAGTCAGTACATTTATGTGGGAACACAACATTAAAAAAAGGAGGAAAGCATAGAATTAGTTACTTTTTTTGCCTGAAGCAGAGATTATGAGAGGATTTTGCACACTTATATTGAACAACTTTATCCTTTAAAGAACTATTTCAGTAAAGAAGATTGGTTCCAGTATCAACATTTGTTGCAAATCCATTTTATTGAGCATTTCATTTATTCATTTATTATCCATTTTATTGAGCAGTTCATTTATTGACCATTTTTCTATCAATTAAATTTACAAGACGTTAAGTTCTTGCATAAAACTGAGTAATTGGCCTAACTCATAGTTAATCACTAGAGAATATACAGGCAGATAGACTTGACATTTATGTCAAAACTGCTTTTTAATAATATACAGTAGGATTAAGAGGACACATATGGAAATACTTATTCATTTACCCCAGTCAGATTAGAGTGACAAGTCAAGAAGAAGTTAAGTTTCCAAGCTTAATAGAATCTTGTAGCATCTTAGAGATAGATATATTATAGCATGAAGTATATTTTGTGGGCTAGACTGCCCTTCATCAGTTGCATCAAGGAGTATCCTCAATCAATAGACTAGATAGACCAGTCTGCTGCAATTTGGTGCTGTCCAGTTGTATTGGGCACACCTGGAAGAACCAGGTGGATGAAGGTTGACAGCTATAAGAGCCCAACCAGCCACAAAGGCATTTTATAATGTGAGTATTAATCCATAAACATTTATATCAGTGTTTATGACTCCACCCATAGGATGTGTTGATTTTGCCACAAGAGCCTCCCCACAGATAGCTCTCGGAAATAAGCTGTTTTGTCAAATTGTTGAGGTGTTTTGAAAAAAGATCACTTAAGTCAGAAGTCCAACTTCCATACTGCAGATTTGAAACTGAAAATTGGAGGAAAAAGAAAAAAAAAGCAAGCTAAAAATGATTGCTCTCCATAGACAAAACTGAGCTAGGTTATGGTTTATTATCATCAGCCCCCTTGAATAACTTTATTAACATTATTTGTAATAATTTTATTTAAAGTAATAAAAATATCACCTGTGATATTTTTTCCCCTGTGGATAAAAGAAAAAGAAGAAATCAGGGTGGGAATAAATGCACCATGTGCACTTATAGCAAAACAGATGTTGCAGTGAAGTTCAAATGGGGAGATATACATATTGGATTACCTGCCTGGGTACCTTTAATCTGTGATATGTGGAATAGCCCTTACCATGCTGGCAGTTTTCTATTGCATTAAAATAATTAATATGATTCATTACATTAGACTGTAAGATCACCAACACCCTCAAGCACATACTAGAGTTAGCGATCCGTCTATATTTAGCATGCTCTTTTACTACATACACATGCACTAAGAAAGAGAGAAACTTCTCTCCTTTCATTGAAAAATCACTGTAGAGTTTACAAGGAAAATACAAATTGTACAGAGCTGTACACAAAGCCTCTATAATTTATGAAAGCTACAGAAAAGACTTTAAAGAGAGACTCCGTGCAAATGCCCATAGTTTCCAAGGTTACAAAGTCAAATTAATTACATGAAAGGGAACAAACACACCAAGCATGGAAGCCACAGCATAAAATTCAAGAAAATGGTCAAGATTTCTGCTCAGATTGATATCTTCACATTTGTGTGTGTGTGTGTGTGTGTGTGTGTCTTTTTGGTGTAAATCACATAAGTCTGAAGGATCAAGTTTCCTTAAAATAAAAATGAAAAGAAGCAGGAGGTCAAGGAACACAAGTAAGTCTTACTCACCAAAATCAGACTGCAAATCCTTTTTCAGCCCACAAAGCATGTCTGCTATTATCTATCAAAGCATTCGGCTAAACAGCAAAAGGCACTCCTCTTTGCCTTGCCTGGCACTGGAATCACGTTACAGCAGTCTCGCTCCCAGGCCGTCTCTCACAAGAAAACAGGGTTACACAGCACAAAAGATACACTCCTCCACTCAGAGAAAACAAAGTCCTCCACTGCTCTGACACCCAGCAAACACAACACTCCCACTGAAAAACAGCCACCACCTCAAAATCAGGCTGTGACCACTCAGAAGACTGAACGTCAAAAGGAATTCAGAACAAGGATAAGGTGTGAAAGTCTCTCCCGCTGCTCTTTAAGGAAAAACATCACTGGATCTGTCAAAGTGGTTTCCATGAGGGAGAGAAACAGAACAAAAGTTCTACATGTAGGCATTAAAAAAGGAGGAGCTGGTTGGAGGACAAGCAGCAGGAACCAGGCAGCCGGTGGGTCCTCTTGCTGGCATAGCAAATGCAAGGGGGTCCTTCACTGCCTGTTGTGTTCCAACTCAGACCATGCTGGAAGAGCGCAGCCATCATCCCACATGGGTGGTGTGCTCGTCTTTCAGATGGAGCCTTTTGTTTCTCTCACCCAGGAAATCCATAAAAATCACAAGAAGCTAGACTGAATTGTCCTGGCTGACAGCCATACAACTGAAGGTTCCTTTTTTGGCTCAAACCAGCAGCACTAGTTGGAAGACTTAAAGGTTCCCCCCAAATTCTTCTAACTTGCAGGCAGCAACATTTCAGAGTGCAAGAGAAGGCAGCTGTAAGTGCTGCAGCACAGCTCAAGACTCTTGGCTTCCCCCACCCCTTTTATCAGCTGGCTATATGGCTGCCAGCCCCTTTCAAAGCAATATCAAAGCTGCTGTTCAAGCATTATGCTTCCTTCTCTAACACAGAGGAAAGGCATAGAAGCAGGAAACAGCTAGTAATTTGATTTAATCCTTCTTTGCACCATCATGTCCTGTGTCCTCTCTCCTTTATGCCTTCAAAAAAATGGTACTTTAAATTATTTGGCTTTTTAGCTCTTGAATGACCAAGGAATTATACTAGAGACAAAAACAAAATACAGAAGGGATACCATGTAGTATTCACTTCTCAGAGAGTGCCATGTTCAATCTAAACATGGAAGGCAAATCACTTATCCCTAAAACTTTCAACTGAAGTAGGAACTGAGGACCACATTTACTGATTTTAACTACATCACCCAAACTAAAACAGTTGATCAGTTTGCTCACTTACTAATATTTGCAATGTGGTATCCACCAGATATATGGATCTGGTCCACAGCAACCATTATTCCCAGTCTGCATGTGCTAGTCAGCAGTTCTGTACATTGTCATTTCAACAATCTGAAGGGCTCAAAGTTGGGGAATGCTATTTGTAAATAAAAAGTGAAGCCTCCTGTGAATCAAAATTAGCTCTTAGTGACTGCTTGTTATCTTCCTGGATTTTTTTTTAACTTCCCAGTCTAACCTACTGCTCTGACATTTCTGAACTACAGGTAGTCCTCGACTTTTGACCATTCATTTAACGACTGTTCAAAGTTACAATGGCACTGGAAAAAAGTGGCTTATGACCAGTCCTTGCACTTACATTGCAGTGTCCCCGCGGTCATGTGATCAAAATTTGAGCGCTTGGCAACTGGCATGTATTTACAATGGTTGCAGCATCCCGGGGTCACATGATCGCCATTTGCAATCTTCCCAGGGGGCTTCCGACAAGCAAAGTCAATGGGGGAATCTGGATTCACTTAATGACCGCAGTAAAAAAAGTTGTAAAATCAGAACAACTCACTTAATGACCACATCGCTTAGCAACAGAAGTTCTGGTCCCAATTGTGGTTGTAAGTTGAGGACTACCTGTACTCTACCTGAAATGCTGCCAAACAAAAGCTATACAAAAACTGAAGTTTCTTAACACTCCATTGTGCCTAACTTCCAAAATACAGCAGTCATGTACAAGCAAAACCAAATCAAAGTGTTCATCAGTGCCTATCCATGAAAAGTTTGTGTCAAATATTGTTAGATTTCCCTTCTAGCAATCCGGACTGAAAACAGTTACAGGTAATCCTCACTTAATGACCATTCATTTATGATGGTTCAAAGTTACGACGGCCTTGGAAAAAGTGCGTTATGACCCGTACTTGCATTTATGACCATTGCAAACTGTCGCACAACCCCGAGGTCACGTGACTGCAATTTGCGACCCTTTTTACGATGTTCATTAAGTGAATCACCATGGTTGTTAAGCAAATCATGTGGTCATTAAGCAAACTCCAGGAAAAAAGTCCTTTGGGGAAGCTGGAATCACTCAACAACCACATGATTCACTTAACAACCACTTGATTCACTTAATGATCATGATTCGCTTTACGACCATAATAAAATGCTTGTAAAATTGGGTCCTGTCACTTGGTGACTCGCTTAATGACTGCCCAATTTAATGACTAATTTTCCAGTCCCTATTGTGGTCATTAAGCGAAGAATACCTGTAATCCAAAGAATAAACCTCTTAGAGATCTGATTAATAATATCTGTTAGAAGGAAGATTAAGGTTACAACAGAAGAATTCCAGCAAGTTTTCTACTTTTAATCAAATGAGATTACTCATAATACATTTCTATGATGGGCTTTTTTAATGCAAAGAGGAGGAGGAGGATTCTCTCTTTTGGGAAGGCAGGCAGTCTACATCTGCTGATTGTTTCGGTAACTGCTGCTAGACTTCTTTTCAGTGTGGGAAAATACTGTAAGACCACCAGCACACACTGCTCTAGTCTTCTTTGCAATTTCTAGCACTTCCACTTTGTTACTGGCATCTCTCCTAAAATCCTGTGGTTTTGCACTGATATACAAATATGCTCATTTCATTTTCATTTCATTTTATTTACAGTCCCAGACCGATAAATGTGTCCTCACTGTTGTACTGCAGCCTCCCATTGAGATGGTCAGAGCTTTTGTCAATGGGAGGGTGCAAAAAATGGCAGCCATCTGGTGACTCAACCCTGTCCTGTCCTAATATTTGCTTTTCGTGGTGAGGGACAAAAAATGGGTGGGGACAGACAGTGTCTGATGAATGGGGCAGGGAATTGTACCTTGGCTAAAAGTGAGAAGAAGAAATCAGAAGGCAGGCTAAGGTAGGAGTTTTCCTCAACAAGAAGCCACTTCGCCTCTAGCATTTCCTCTGGAGCAGGAACAATAGTTAATTGGACCAGCTTCCCAAGCCCCATGGCAGGAGTGTCCACAGAGGCATCAATGGCATCAAAATGGTGGGTATCACTGGATGATCGAAATGTGGCTACTGATGCACCCCTACACACGTTAATGCATTAGATGTTGTGTGCTAGTAATAAAATGAGGAAGTGTAAAAGGATTCTTATCTACACAAGGATTATTGTTGCATGGCTGAGGAGAAGATGGAGAAGAACATAATAAATAAAGCAGCATTGGAGCTTTTCCTGGCATAAAAAGACCTCTCATTTTAATAATTAGAAAAAAAAGAAATGTCCTGTTGATCTGGACCCATATGTGAGGCAGATCAACAGTGGTTAATGTGGATACCACCCTTTCTCACATCATAAATTTGCAATCTATAGTGGTCATGCACTGTAGAAGCCAGCGCATGTAATAGTTGTCACATGGGGACTGCTTGACATTGCTCCACCTGATAGCAAACCTCCTAGGTTGATCCATGTGTGCATCAAGCCTTCACGCTATGCCCCCAGAGACTTGATTTGTTTTCTTCTTTTATCTGCTTACAGTGAGGTTGAATAGAAAAAATGCTGGATTCCAGAGTGGTGGTGACAGAGACTGCACATCAATGGGTCACTTACCCATTTGTAATAGCTGTCTCATGCAACAGTTAGTAAAGGCCTCCAAGTGATAGATACAAGATAGCTGACAGCTCCACCAGACGGAATAAAATAAAAAACTGACAGTTTAGATCAGTGTTTTTCAAACTTGGCAACTTTAAGATGTGTGGACTTCAACTCCCAGAATTTCCCAGCCAGGATGAAAAACATTGGTTTAGAAAGACAGTAGACATTAATGTTAGCATTGGAAAGTCTATACAGTAGCACCTCTATTTTGTGATAAGAGTCAATTGCTTGGGTTCAATTGCTATGAGAAAAAGGCTAAAAATAGCATGCATGCACACCCCCACCCACTCCATATCAAATTATTCTGTAATTCGTTAAGCGGAAACCACCACAGTGGCTTTCTCATACACTTAATTAGCAACAGGAGTTGATGTTGCAGTAATAATTCCCTCTAAACTGCACAGCATTTTCTAAGCAGAAACGTTGCAGGAGCTTCAAAAATTCTTCAGAAAAGGAATAGATCCCACAATAGCTAAATTGGTGCAGAGACACTGTAACGGTTACCAATGACAATGAATTAACAGTATCATTGTTGAATTCCCTTTTCCATCCTGTTCACTTATGTAAGAAGTTTAAAATACATGCTTTAAGGAATCTGCATACATCACTGTCATGATAACTGACTAGATTAAAAACATACAAACAGAGAGGGTGGGGTCTATACACATGCACAGATGCATCATACATATCTAGTACGATTCTGTACAATAAAACCACTACAAATATAAAGGGATCAGTACCTGGAGCTGGGCAGTTGTCATCAAGGTAGAGGTTAATTAGCAGTAGAAAGTTATTCCCAGATATCTGGGAAAACCAAGGTACAGTCAGAAAGAGACCTTGCTAATCTTGCAAATAAATCATATCTTACAAATGTGTACCTTTCTCTTTCATGTACAGCTAGTCCTTGGGTTACGACCACTTGTTCAGTGATGGTTCAAAGTTACGATGGCACTGAATGGGGTGTGTGTGTGTGTGTCTTACAACCAGTCCTCGAAGTTCCAGTTGTTACAGTGTCCCCGTAGTCACGTGATCGCAATCTGGGTACTTGATGCCCAGCTCGCAATTACGATGTTGCAGCAAGCTGCAGTCATGTGATTGAGATTTCCAATGTTGCCTGCCAGCTTCCCACAAGCAAAGCCAATGGGGAAGCCGGCAGGAGGTCACAAGTTACTCCCACTGTTGTTTTGCCTGCCTGTGGCAGCCCCCCACCCCCCATGGCAGCCCTCACCGCACCTGCCCATGCCACCCCCCTTCACTCGCCCTTAGCTCTTACCCGCCAGCCTG